CTTCAATTTCTATATGGGCGCTGAGTTGAAAAACGGGCGTCAGGTGGGGACGGGCGTCAGGTGATCAACTACGGTACAACAAAAAGAAAAAAAAAAAAAATTCTGATTGGATGAAAGCCAAAATGGGGTCTATCCGGTTAACATTCCATTTCTCAGCCTGATCATGGATGTGCAGTAGAACGAGTGAGCATCACTTGGTCCAACAGTCCCGCACACATTATACGAAGAAATGTTCCACAATTTTGAATCCCAGCAGTACCCACTGGCCAAACGTCGCAAGGTCGGCCGCGGCCGGGCCTGCGACTTCTGTCGAGCCCAGCGGGTACGATGTGACTCGTTTACACCTTGCTCCCAATGCGAGGAGAACCACGTCCTCTGTAGTCGTCCCCAGTCTCCAGAGAGACATTTTCCTAGAGAGGATCGCTTTTCCCAACAAGCGGGCCCAGGCATACCTCGATTTGCTCCTGCTTCTGATAGGCTTCGCGTCGATGGAGCCCAAGCAGTGACTACGCCGCAAGAGAGACTCGTCTCGGGCCACGATGATGGCAAAAGACCTTGGACTAGAAAAAATCCTCCTCCCAGACAAGCGGGGTCAAGTCTATCCCGAATTGCCCCTGCTTCTGATAGCGCTGAGGACGATGATAGTCTTCAGTTTCCGGAGGGCCTTTTGACTGGAAATGATCCTCCTTCCCGAGAAACGCGGGCAGACCTATCCCGAAAACGCGGCCGGACCCATCTCGAATCTTCTGATAGCGCCGAGGATGATGGAGTCCAAGCCTTGATTACACCGCAAGAGACTTCTGTCTCGGGCCATGACAATGGCAAAAGAGCCCAGCAAGATGACCCTGCGTCGATGAACAGTCGGCTAGAATCAATGACAGGTTTTATCTCCCGCCTGAATGCGTTCTGTTCTGGAATGTCGCAGCTCTCGCAAACTTCGCCTACAGATGACCCCCTTCTGACCTACACATCACCGTTCGGTCCACACCTTCTGGAGGGGGCTCATCCGACAGAATGCGACCTCTCCCCTGTCCAGGTTGACCGTCTTCTGGAAATATTCTGGGCCCGTTTGCACCCGTTGATTCCTATTCTCAGTCCTGAAGACATGAAATCCCACTCACCGCTTCGGGACGCAGTAACAGCGTACGCAATGCAGTATGCATTCTACTCGGGGCTGCATTCCAGACTGCTGGGGCTCCAATGGAAGCAGTTCTCGAAGGACAATCGATGCTCCAGAGTAATCGGCATGTCGTACCTACAGCGCTGTCTAGCCAGTGCAACACAATTCTCGACATTCGCGGAGCCGTCCCTCCCCATTCTCCAATGTTACTGCATAATGACTCTCTACCTCCTCGACGCCGGCCAGCATCAAGCAGCGTATAACATGATCGGACTGGCGGTTCGAATGGCTCGATCATTGAACTTCGACAGCGATGCACCTGCTGGGGTCTCTCCCGAGGAAATGGACCTGACATCTCGCATCTGGTGGACACTGGTTCATCTGGACTTTCGCTGCTCAAGACACCTCGGCAAGCCGTTTAGTGCCCAGCTCCCTACAATAAGATCTACGCCACCTTGCCGTCTATCAAACAGTCCACCGGGATCGGACTACTTTCCATACCACACTCAATCCATCCAACTAACATATCTGGCTCTTGGGGTTATCGAATCAATCGCTCGAGACAAAACCCCGAACCGAACACACGACGCAGAATCCCAAGCCGAAGCCCTCACCCGGAATCTCTGGCGACTCGATAAATGGCGAATCGCCCTGCAAAAGCACGACTGGTTCCAGCACCTTCAACTCGGCGTCCCTGAAATGCCGCAGCCACCCGAATTCCTACCAACCGAAAACGCAGACACCAACAAAATCACCTACATGAATCGACCACCACTACAGCACCAGCTCTCCACCCTCTTGGAGCTTCAATATCGCGACATCATCATCAGCCTGCATCGCGTCTTCATCCAGTTTCCCACCCAACCCCTAGTTCCTAAAAGTAGTCCCCAAGCTGAAGCCCACGCCGCCACAGCGCTCAAACACGGCCTGGCGACGATCGAAACCGTCCATCGCTGCATGTCGCAATCAGACCTGTTCTTCGGCTCTTGCGAACTCTACCAGTATCAGTGGAATGCCGTCCTCACGTTAATGGGCTTCATGCTTGCGTATCCATTCTGCCATCGCTGTCCGATAGCGAGAGGGTACATTGATATGGCGCTGGAAACCTTCGAGTTCGCCGGCCCGAAGAATGATGTTGCCGTGAGAGCGGCTTGTTTGACACGGTACCTCCGTGCGAAAGTGGATAAGCTGACGATGATTTTGAATATCGATCATCGGAAAGCGGCGGAGACGTCGGCACAGTTGGGCGATGTTAGATCGGGTGATGCTCCCACTGCTCAAGGCGGTGACCCGAACGAGAGTGCTACGATTGACAGGGGCATGGGTCTTATGTCGGACGTGGGACAAGAGGGTGATGGTAATACGTTGTGGTCTTGGGTCGATCTGATTGATCCGGATGCTTGGCCGAGTTATTGTGATGAGGTTAATGAGGTGTTTATGAGAGGTTCGGATGCGGATTTGTTCCAGAATGCGTTCTACTCTTGATCTTAGGGGAGTGGAGCGGTCTCTGGGGCACTGACTTTGACTATGAGCTTACAGGCCTAGGGTTGCTGGATGAAGATCGACCTGAGTAAATTAGGCGGTTTATACCCAATCTTTAATAGACATGTATTGATCCTAAATAAACAGATGAACTCTAGCAATTAATCAATGATATGGACATTGGAAATGTTTCTGAAAATTGAAATCTTTCTTAGCGCCGTGATACTCCGTATGAAGACATTGTTAAGACAATATCATATCTAACTAATGTTCCTACATATCTACGATTACATCATCATGAGCTACTGCTGATCACCAACCCCGTAAATTGCCCATGTGATTTCGCTTCCAAGACAAGAATTGCTGCATTCTTGTAATAGTTACGAGATTCTAGCCGTATGACTCAGACAAGTGAATATTAAAAATCTAGGGATGCCCAGTTTCCCCAGTATATCATTCTTTCACCGAAATGCTTCACCAAGGCATACATATTCACGCGCTTCCTTGATCCCCAGTAGATAGACAGGAGATTCCCTTCCGCCAACTTCATCTTCTTCCTCCTCATCTTCATCTATCTCCATCTCCCTGTGTGGTAAATACTACTGTAACAGCTTGAGGCTGCCTACATACGTCTTCCTCCATCAACAACCCGATGTGGATATTTGTTTGAAAACAAAGAAGATGACCATTCTTTGAGCATTAATTGGAGAGTTCCCCCTCAAGACAAGGCACGAATGGGGTTCAGCTACGCATCCACCGAAAGGGGGCAAAAGAGCCCAATTCAGATGAGAAAGCGAAGTGCCTGCGGATGGACCAGTTCACGGAGATGGGCGGTAGCGTAAGTGTCTTCCTACTCAAGATAGGCAAATATACTTACGAAATGCAGTGGATAAGGAAGTAGTCATGTCCTGCAAACGAAGAATGGTTTAACCATGGATACCTCGACGAAAATCTGGGATTTCATGTCTTATCAACAAGTACAGCCACATTTTCATCCGATTACCATTCCAAGTCTCGGCTCAACTGCTGCGGAGTATTCTCAAAGTCAGGCCGGGAGTCCCGAAGCAGAAATCGTGAAACTGATGATCGTCCAGGGTAAATGAAACAAAACTCCTCAAAGCATTGCACAGGTATGTGCCAAGTCCTCCCTTTCGCTAGAGTTCTACAACCAATCTCAAGCTGTCGGAAGGTCGAAGCAAGAGCGAAGCTTTGATGTGGGCCCTGGCAACGAAGCGAAGAATTCATTCGCACAGGCTATTGATCATATTGGCGAGCCTCGACAAGAAAAAGTTCGCCATTGCCTGATATTATCCAGGTTTTCAATCAGCGAGAAAATGAACAGTCTAGTTAAATGTAAGTCCTATTCCCTCCGGCTTATGAGCGCTGCTAATTTCTAGCCTCAGCCGAGGACAAAGTCAAGGTTTGCTCTTCACGAAGCCACTTGCCGGGACGATCATCAAAGGGCAATCATGGGGACAGATATCGTGCAATTTCTCAAAAAGGATCCGAATATTCTCCCATTCTCCTTGGACTTGAGTCGACACCATCAAGAGACTGACGCCCGGCCGATAAATGCTGCGAGACTTTGTAGTCGGGCTTGACGAGATTTCCCGATGATACGACCACGAAGATGTCCTTGAAAGATCCCCCCTGTGCCTACTGACCTGGCCTGGTGTCCTGAGGGAGAAGGGAAAGAAATACGAAAGTATCTGCTCCCGGTAGGGGCTTGCTCCGTTCGTGGAGTTTGGAAGTCACCTTTGGAAGCGGCCAGCCTGGTGTGGCATACTCATTGTACATGAGAATGATAGAGCCGCAAACATCAGGACAGTTATCCCTCAGCATACGACGCTCGAGGGGACCCGGGGATTACATCAACGATCTGTTTCAATATTGGGCGCAATGAAAGCTCAATATGTTTACGAAAATAGAGCCAGAGAGTGTATTTAGGGCTTCGGTATGCTGTTAGGATTAATTGGAAGAGTATGTTTTAGTGGAGCTAACTTTTGTTAAAGACATCCAGATGGTGTCGACTACCCAGCTCCCCCACTCCCACAAAACATCAATCGCAATGTGCATCCCAATTTTCCCCCGGCCATGCCAAGACTTCAATTAATAAAGTCAAAATACAATCAAGTCGAATATTGGGCTCCTCCGGATTTGCTGGGCTCGGATTCACAGGTCGAACGCTGGAATAGATGATCAGATCATGAGGACTTCCCAGATGGTCTTTTAGACTATGCATCACGGGCAAATGGCTGAAATTAAACAACGGGAATCGGAATATCCACTAGAATGGGCGAGCCTATATCTTCGGACCACTTCAAAACCTTTCGTCCATAGGGTCTCTTTTGATGGTAAGGATATTAGCCCTTCTTCTCTAGGCTGATTGAATCTAACCATTCCTTCCTAGAAACACGCCAGGATTTGAACGTTTCGTAACTATCGACTGGCCACCCTTTAATATGAAATATGGACTTGGCAGAAACGGTCCGCGTTTTCAGATTGATGCACAATGGTGGTTGGCGGGTGTCCAAAGAGCAAAATGAAGAATTAAAATGCAAAAGTTAACCTCAAATTCCTAGTTTGGAATGAAAAAGGCTTCCTGAGATACATGTTCGGCAACAGAGGGCGATAAAACAGAGAGCGAGCCAGTCTTCTGTTCCCAGAGCTAGGGGGCTTTTGGTCGGGATGCTCTTTTTTTCAAAATGAATACGGTTGCCGGCAAAGAGAGAAGGTCGGCCCCATACCGTGCTAGAATGGGTGAAAAAGGGAGTATCCAGCTCTGTGCTTGAAGCCGGGTTGTGAGGGCCTCTCACACAAGGGAGAATACTGGCCCTACTGTCCGGTGTGTCACATCCTGCCAACTATTGCATCAAGAGTCACCTCGATCGTTTTGAGGCTAATAGCTAGTACTGCACTCTTGGTTCAGCAGATAGGTTTGGATTACATCTACATGAAGCTCTCGTGGTTGTTTACCATCGAGTCGATGTCTAGTGCATTCTCTAGAACAATACGGAGCAGACAGCTACCGTACACATAAAACTGTGGAATGACCTAGGCCAATCGAAAGAGACCGAAAGACACGAAGCTGCGTGGAACAGAATCCTGAGCTTCTGGATGTGATGACCGACAAACCCGAATATAAACATGTGGTCGAAGGTAGCTTTGCTGAAAAGCTCTTGCCTGATGAAAAGCCTGGACTGCATCGTGAATCTGATGTACGATAGACATCAATCATGAACGCACAATTGACCAACTCGACATGTGAACGCACCAGTGACAAACCGGGTGGTCTTGTTGAGGGCTCACCCAAATGGCAATTATAGCCCACGGAGCACAGAAATCAAATGTTTTACAAGGCGTCTTACCATGCCCTGCAGATCGGCGGTAATAGAAGACTGCTCTGGTCTCTCGACATAACACCAGAAACCAGAATTCCATCTGGAATCGCCGAAAATATCAAAGGTGCAGAAAGAAAAAACGAATGGCTTTAAAGAAGAGGAACGTGCACAGAGCCGCGAGTCGGAGATGAACATCGACAAATGCTGTCTAATATGGAAATATGTCACAAACCCTTATGTCTGTTGACGAGTCCATCAAACCAGACTGGAGACAACACTACCCTACAAGAAGGGGAAAAGGTACATTAGCGGGAAATCGATCTCCTTTACCTCACAGAAGAGATAAAAGAGTGGAAAAGACAATTGTCCCTTAGATGGAGACAAAATGATGGTCGAACATTTTCTTCACGTGTCTGGAGCCTTCTGTCATCGGAATTTACGTGGTCCAAACGACAATTGTTGGTATACGGTAGGAACAGACTTCGATTACGACCCCTACAGTCCCAAATTGAGAACATCAAACAACAACACTTCTCTTGACTGTGGATCTTGTTTCAACCACACTCATTATTGGAAAGAAGCGTAGTTACCCCTTCCTGATCGTTGTAGCTCGAAACTCTACTCGCCTATAGACCAGGGTCATCAACAGTCTATGGAATTACCTTGTTGCGGATGGCAAGGTCTACACTGTTCTCTTTTTACCCTCTAGTTTCGCTTAAAAAACATTTCAATCATGCACCTCACGTTGAACATACAAAAAAGGAACCAAAACCCCGGACTAGGCCCCAGCTCTAGCCATGCCGGCCAAATGACGAGAGTGTAAGGAGCACCCAGGAGACAGAAGTGACCAAGTCAGAGCTTGAATCAAAAGGCATACATTCTGTACTGCTAGATATGGAATTCTTGGATAATTGCGGGGCCTCACCCACGACATCGCCTATGCATTTGACCCCTACGTTGTCGTGAGAGCATGGGACAAGTTACAAGGCGAATCTGAAGGACTGAGGATGGAGAATGAAAATCTTCAGAGAGAAGAAGGAATTACGCTGCCAGCTCCAGGATGCCACAGACAATGGTGAGGATGTCCTGTTCGAATCTGTCTTGCTTGCCGTGCTTGTTGACCATTCTTTGCTACAAGAATAAACTTCTTGTATCAGGTTTGTTCTGAAAAGTCCGCACAAAGACACGCAGTGGTCTCCGTGGAAAATTTCAGATGCGTGGAACGCTGTCTGCAATTATGTCAAATCCTGGACATGCATTGTACACGGGCGAGCCTGTCTTTACGCATCGGCTACTGGCGTCGGCACTGGAGGCATCCTCGTTCCATGAAGGGCTTTGCCCCTAGAGATCTGCTTCGATCTCCTGAAAGAGCAGTGCGAGTTCGACCCAGAGACTGAGATGTTAGGGGGAACGGTCTTGATAGCCGAGAGCATAAGATTGTTCAATACCTAATCGCAATAAAGACATTTCTGACGCAAGTGGGTTTGATTGAAGACCAATCCAGAATGAAGGTCGTTTGTCGCCCCCGACGAGGATGATGATTTCGTGGACTCGTCGTTCCCCAAGGCCAAGACCAGCAAGGTTGTTAGTCTGGCGTCCCTGCATCCGGTTCTCTCTGCTGACGATTTGGCTACAGACCGCTACAAAGCCCGCGAAAACCGT